ATATGATTTAGATTTTTATTTCTGTGACTGTAACGACCCACAGGAGACAACGTTAACAGCAGTCATTTCATTCCTCGGCTTTAGCAGCTCCTTTAATTCCACAGCTGACGCTGCTAAAAATGACAGCTTTTCCTTTCTGGATCTCTGACAGACGGACTTCAAATCTGAACTCGTAAAGTTGTTCTTTTTACTTTGTGATGTCTTTTATGCATGAATACTTCCTGGTATGTGGGGCAGGAAACATAGCCTTATATGGTGTTTTTTTGGTGGTAATTATGCTAATCTCCTCTCCTCGTGTGCGAGCGCCTCATACGCATTCATCAGTTTACACAGCTCATTTACACACTTTTCCTGTAGAAGAGTTTGTTGAATCTGACGTGACATGTTCGTACGAACCCTTTGTACGAACAAAAGTAAGAGAAATTTAGGATAAGAATACGAACATGTTCTTGCATGAGGCCCAATGTTTTTGCTCTACTTGTTGGTTTTTGTAGCCCCTTTGCTCAAATGGCACGCATAATGATGGTAAAGCTTCCAATAAATAGACAGTTAGGGAGCTGATGACAGGAAGTGATGATCCACTGATTTTCTTTTCCTATTCTGATACAAAGTAAATTTGATCTGATACTTTTGTGCAAATGCACCTATCTGGTAAATCTAAAAAAAAGTAGAGTGCTTCAAATGAAAGCTAGGGCTGGGTGATTCTAGGAATATTGGGATGGATCTGAAAGGACTATTTCGCCCTTTCCGATACAATAGACTTTAAAATTTAGTGATTTTGCCTTTAGTTGATTTTGACATAAAATCGCCTTGAGAAGAAAAACAAGACATTTCATATTTTGTTTAAAGAATAGTCATGGGACAAATATAAAAACTTCTATTCACAAAACACGGCATCACCTTCAGGAAGAATCTGTTTTCCCTGACCATTTAGATGGGATTTGTAAACTTCAAGTCAACAGAAAGACCAGAGTTGTAAAGTAACTAAGTTCAAATACTTTGTTACTGTACTTAGAAATTTTGGTTTTCTGTACTTTACTTGAGTAATTATTTTTCAGCGTACTTTTTACTTTTACTCATTACATTTTTACACAGTTATCTATGCTTTCTACTCACTACATTTTTTTAAAAGGTAAGAAGTAGAAAGTCGTTACTCCTATTTTATTCTGAGTTGTTATTATTTAAAAACACTATCCTGATAAATTGTGTCTCCTGGATAGAGTGAATTTAATTGTGGTTGGATGAGAAGTACAAATATATACCATTCTGACACACTATTAGCTTGTACACAACCCATCACCAAAAATATTTTTTGGAGAAGTCACCTCCCAATAAATGTCATTTTGTAAAATCTAACTGCTCACTTTTACTCAGTACTTTTACTTTTAATACTTAAGTAGATTTTGTGTCAGAAATTTACTTTTGATACTTAAGTACAAAAATATTCTGATACTTTAAGACTTTTACTCAAGTAATATTTTTAGAGGAGACTTTAACTTTTACCAAAGTATTTTTATGATAAGATACTTGTGCTTTTTCTCAAGCATAACTTTGAGGTACTTTATATAACACTGAGAAAGACTGAATGAACAAAAATAAAAAGGGCAAAACCCTAAACTTCTGTCTACTCCAGGGCTATTCACCGGTGGCCCACGGGCCACATCCGGTCCGCGAGTGACCAAAGTTCGGCCCGCCAATTGGTCCATTCATCTCTTAAGACCAAACCCCTTGTTTTCTACTTTAATTACTCTAAGTTACGTTAGTTAAACATAGACATGTCTGGTATCTACAGAAACATCCGCATCTTGGCTACAAGCTTGTAAATTTTCTAAGAACACCCAAAACAGTTAAAACTACAAGCAGTTAAAGATAAAATTATGAAAGTGAAAACAAAATTGTTTTAAAAATTTGGCAAGTCAGAGATGTCAAAGTATTATTTGTGTTTTTGATATTGTTTTATTATCACTACTTTTATAGGGTTCTGTATGTTGTATTCATGATTAAATGCAGCAAAATAAACTAATTCAAAGGTAACAGATCTTTGTAATACTTGGTTTATTTACATAATGACTTTAATCGCTGGATGTTCGGCCCCTGAGCTGTTGGCCTACAGTAACTGTGGCCATCGGAGCAGTTTAGTTGAATATCCCTGATCTACTCTGTCTCTCCTTGAACTCCCTTGTAAAGTCCATCCTGCTTGTTGACAAGGAAACACTTCATAATGATGTTTATTGTCAGCGTCGATGCACTGCAAGTGACCTGTGAGTCATATTTCAGAGGACACAAACAACATATGTAGCTGCTCAGATCTGACATGTAATGTAGCTCCTGCTGCCAGTTGGGACATTAATTTAATGGATGGGTTTTACTAAACACCAGCGTGGACTAATGGCCTACGTAAAAACAACAAAAACAGCATTGTATTTCTCCATTTAACTTTTTTTGTCACATCAACCATCATGTCTAGCTTCATGTATTCAGATGAATTATGGTTTGTGTTTTAGTTGATAAAGTGTGTGTGTGTGTGTGTGTGGGGG